GACCCGTATGGGAACGGATGTGTGTTATGTACATAGGGCAAAGCCTGTTCCTGATCAAATCTTGAACCTGGAGGAACAATGAGGTTAGTTCAGTATCATCAGGTATAAATTCAGCAGTTTCAATATGTAAAATAACTCTTTCTGCGTATTGTGAATCTGTAACTATATTAATAGGTTCTTTAAAATCCCTTAGCACCATAAGAATGGCATATAATTCCGCCTTCTGGACAGAATTATACGGACTTTGTTCCACCTTATCCAAGTCTTCTGATTTGTAACCTGCCTTCCCTGATTTATTGGCATCAGTATAGAATGTACGGGCTCCAGTTATTGGAGCATCACGGACGATTCGAGGAAGAATCCAAGAGGTTCTCTTTATGAAGTTAAGCCGCTTGCTTTTTGGATAGTTGTTATTAATGTCTCCCAAAAAATTAGCACAAGCTCTTTGCCATGGTTCATTATCTTCCCATAATTTCTTTAGTTCATCAGCAGTGAAAGGCACTATAATTTCTGCTGGGTCTATGCCTGCTAGTTGACGAAGTCTCAGCTTGCCTTTTATAATTAACTCAGAGACTTTTTCCACATAAGTTTTCAGTTTCTTACTTGGTTTATGTGGTAAAAAGATCCATTCCAAAATAATATCATCTCTCTGCATTAAAATTCCTGTAGGAGAAATTTTTGATGGTAGTATGACGAGAATACAATCGAGCTCTGGATTCACCCTGTCCACATGTGCCTGTTGTAATTTTTCCTCAATCATTGTCAGTTCCTTTTCTGCTTCAGCTGTTAATTCTCTGGGACTGTTTAAATCCTTATCACCATCCAAGGTTTTGTTCAAATGAATTATTAGATCAGGTGTTATTCCAATAGCTGGTCGTAGACTGGAAATGTCTCCTAACAGTCTTTGAAAGTCATTAAGAGTCCGTAGGCGATCTCTCCTAATTTGTGCTTTTTGTGTCTTAATTTTTTGCAAACCTATTTTATAACCTAAATAATTAACAGAGTCTCCCTTCTGAATCTTTTCAGGAGCTATTTGCAATCCCCATTTAGGTAAAAGTATCTTTATTTCTTCAAACAGTCTGTTCAAGGTATCCATGTTTGAATCGGATAACAAGATGTCGTCCATGTAATGGTATACTATAGATTTGGGAAATTTCTTGCGTATTATTTGCAATGGTTGGTTCACAAAATATTGGCACAGGGAGGGGCTATTTAACATACCCTGGGGGAGAACGGTCCAGTGGTACCTCCTCGAAGGTTGAGAATTGTTATAACTAGGCACTGTGAAGGCAAATTTTTCTCTATCTTCTTTTTGCAAAGGTATAGTGAAAAAACAATCCTTTAAATCAATAACTATGAGAGGCCATCCTTTTGGTAATAAAGAGGGCAAAGGAATTCCAGATTGCAGAGGGCCCATAGGTTGAATAACCTTGTTGATGGCCCTGAGATCTGTCACCATTCTCCATTTACCTGATTTTTTCTTAACCACAAATACAGGAGAATTCCAAGGGCTGGTAGATTCTTCTATATGTCCAGCATCTAATTGTTCTTGTACCAGCTGTTCTAAAGCCTGTAACTTTTCCTCAGCTAAAGGCCATTGCTTTGTCCATATTGGTTTCTCAGTCAACCATTTTAGAGGCAAGGCTGTTGGTATCTCTGAAGGGACATCAATTGCTTGTTCTTGTACAGCCCGAATGGCCGGTTTTCTCTGTTTGTAATATCTTTTAATATTATTCTCAGAAATATAGGCTCTAGATTTAGCAGGAATGTTAATTTCGGTATTCCATTGTTGTAATAGGTCACGACCCCATAAATTCATTGCGATATTGGCTACATATGGCTTTAATTTTCCTATTTGTCCCTCTGGCCCTATGCATTCAACCCATCTCGTGCTCTGCCTTACTCGAGATAGGGTTCCAATTCCCAGGAGCTGAACATTTACATTTTGAAGAGGCCAATACGGATGCCAAGATTCTGGGGTAATGATACTTACATCAGCACCTGTGTCCAGCAGGCCAGTAATAAAAATGCCATTTACACACACTCTCAGTTTAGGTCTTTGATCATTTATCGAAGTTTGCCAAAACACACGTAACTTATCTTTCTGATCATTATTGCTTGTAACAGTAGGCATGGGGCTTCCTAATTGTCCTGATGAGGCACGTTCTCTGCAGAAACTGGATATGACTGAACCATGTTTGCCATGGGGGCCTGTGAGGCCCCCCCTCTCACGTTTCCCGGCTGTATCAGGTTGCCTTGTCTATCTCTTGTAGACCTGCATTCATTCGTCCAATGTCTGCCCTTTCCACATCTTCTACATAAACCTGAAGGCTGAGTCCTCCTATTTCTGTTATTTCTAGAAGATGCATTATTATTATTATTTCTGAAAGATGCATTATTATTATTATTATTTCTGAAAATCCGTTGTTTACAATTCCTTTTAATATGACCCATTTTTCCACAATTAAAACATTTGGTATTCTGGTGTCTCCTTTTACCATTGGAAATTGCTTCTTCTACCCATGCTTCAGTGCCATAATCAAATGTATCAACATTGAGTGTATGCAAGACCCATTCTTCCAACGGTGCTGATCTGAGCTTTAAAGGACCCAAAATCCTTTTGCATTCCACATTTGCATTTTCATAAGCCAAAGACTCAATCATTATACGTCTTGCTTCTGGGTCAGATATTCCTATTTGTACAGCCTTAGTTAATCTTTGTAAAAAGTCACTAAAGGGTTCTCTCTGACCCTGTTTAACTCTGACAAATGATTCCATTCTCTGTCCTGGGTCTTGTACCCTGTCCCAAGCCCTTAAGGCTGCTGTAGTACACATGGAGAGTGTGTTTTCATCCAAATTAGCTTGTTCCTGAGGATCAGAAAAGAGCCCTTCACCTAGAATTTGATCTAGGGAAATGTCAATTCCCTTCGCTTTTTCCTGCTGTTCTAAGAGTCTAGCCTCTTGCCTGAATAAGCATTTCCATTTCAATTGCGGTCCACTCTCGAGTACCGCAGAGCTCAGCTGGAGCCAGTCTGAGGGGGTTGCTCTGCTTGTCGTGGCCCAAGATCTTAGCATCTCTTTAACAAAAGAGGCTTGCATCCCAAAAGTCATGACAGCCTGTTTTATTTCCTTGAGATCATTCATACGCACAGGCTCCCATGTATCCTCCTTGATGACCCTAGGGTTTTTGGAACCAATCACCTTCTCTGTTGTTATTACTGGAAAGGCAGGTAGAGCTGTAGGTAGAGCTTTGTGGAAATTGTCCCGGAGAGACTTACCCACAGATGTAGTTAAAATTTGCCTTTCTACCCTTTGCTCTTCTTCATCAGAATTTAGAAATTCCTCAATCTTTTCAATTCTGTTCACCATTGCCTTCTGCAATGTCTGAAACTCCTGTCCAGAATTATGTTCCAAAGCCTTCATTGAGGATTCTAATGTATGAAGTTTGTCCGTTAGAGATAACATCTCATCTTTGGACATAATTTTTATGGCATAAACCGTGCCTTCTTGTATTGACAATCTTTCCGTCAATCTGTCATAAGCTTTAGACAAAATCCGATTGTCACATTCAGCAGTTTTGATTCTCTCAGTTAATGTTTCCTTTCCAACAGAAAGGGACTGAATCTTATGGTCCAGATCAGCTGTTCCCTCTTCCATACTAATGAATTTCTCCTTAACATCAGCCTGAAGAACTTCAACCTGATTCTTGAGAAGATTGTTATCAGCCTGGAGAACTTCAAACTGATTCTTGATAAGATTGTTATCAGCCTGGAGAACTTCAAACTGATTCTTGAGAAGATTGTTGTCATTCTCAATTGTTTTTAAGCGTTCAATCTCTACCTTAAGAATCCTGGATTCGTCTCGTAAAGACTTTATCATATTTCTATTATCAAACCATTTGGTGCCAATGAAAACTACGACTCCCAGAAGGATCCATATATGTGGGGTGATAGACACCTCTTGTAAAATCTCCCACATGGTACAATTAAAAAAATCATTAAATTCTTGAACAGTAATGTGTTCAGACATTTTATTTATAAAAGAAAATTTTTTTACCTGCAAAGATCGGTTCCTGACAGTGGTGGTCTCTGTGTTTTTGGAGCCTGTCCTAGAACTAGCTCTTGTAGACCAGGCTGGCCTTGAACTCACAGAGATCCGCCTGTCTCTGCCTCCCAAGTGCTGGGATTGAAGGCGTGCACTACCAAGGCCTGGCAGGCCTCAAACTCACAGAGATCTGCCTGCCTCTGCTTCCCAAGTGCTGGGATTAAAGGCGTGCTCTACCACTGCCTGGCCGGCCTCAAACTTGTGATCCTCCTGCCTCTGCCTCCTTCAGCAAATCCTACCGGCGTGCGCCACCACAACCGGCCAAGTCACTTTGTAACAGACCAAATCTGACACTGTGGCAGCTTTTGTTGCAAAACCGCAAGTACTTGAGCTTCTGCTAATTCAGGCAGTGGGGTTCCGCTGCAAAACTTAGCCAAGGCAGGCAGAATGGGCCTGTGTCGCCGAGTGTGTCTCGGACTCGGCACTGGGGCCGGAGTCACGAACTGAAAAACAGCACCGGGGAGGGTGCTGTGTTAGCTAGCGGGCTACCCGCTTGAGTCGGGGGCAAAATAGCCCGACGTTGGACGCCAAAATGTAACGGCGTAAACGAATGCAGACAGAGTGTAAATATATATATATATATATATATATAGCTTTAATGTAGAAATAGACTTACAGAACCACCGTTCCCGCGGAGACCAGGAAAGCAGAAGCAAGCGCTCGGAGCTTGCTCGCCAAATTTATAGGCAGACATTAGCCCGAGGCGAACACGCCCCCTAAGGCGTGTTCTTATCCCTACAGGCTGTGTCTCAAGCTAGTTGCGTGATAGGGGTGGTAGTCTGGAGGTGAAATGAGTCAGTTGCATAATCAAGGCCAAAGGCCACCCTTCCACCTCAGGATGTATAAAAGCAAACCAATTCAGCCATCGCCATCTGTCTGTCACCCTCATTGCCATCATGCTGGCCTCTGGACTGCTCCTGGTGACTGTGCTGGCCTTCCTCATCATTCTGGTCTTCATATCTGTCTGGAAGCAGAGGAAATTTTCAGGGAAGCTGCCTCCAGGACCCACCCCACTGCCCTTCATCGGGAACTACTTTCAGCTGAACACAGAGCAGATATACAACTCCCTCATGAAGGTGCCCCTGGGCAAGGCGAAGGGTAGAATGGTGGACAGAGGGATGCCCAGTTTTCATAGAGGCTTTGTAGTAGGGTATTGACCCCAGGGGGAGTAATTTTAGGCTGGTAGAATTGTGAAGAGTCAGCAACCAACTCCTAGGCATGTGAGACCACATCTTGGGGCATCATATCTGATAAGTGTTAGAACTCCAGAGAAATGAATCCCAGACCTGTCATCAAGGTATGACCTCTTCCCTCTATCTTTGCTCATCCTCCTCCATCAGATCAGCGAATGCTATGGTCCCGTGTTCACCATCCACCTGGGGCCTCGCCGAATTGTAGTACTATGTGGACAGGAAGCAGTCAAGGAGGCTCTGGTGGATCAAGCTGAGGAATTCAGTGGGCGTGGTGAACAACCCATCTTTGATTGGCTCTTCAAAGGCTATGGTGAGGGAGACAAGATGCATGGGAGTGTGGCAGGGAACAATTGGAAGGCTTTAGTTTTCCCTGTCTTCTTCTGGACTCTTCCATTCACATCACTGCCTTCTGCTGTGAGGGGTATGAGACCCACTGTTTCCTAATCTTCCTGTCTTTCTGTGCCTGTGTCTCCTGACCTCCCTCCCCCACCACATATACACCACCCATGCCTCCTCTTCCTTCTTGGGATTTTCCATCTGAATCCTGTGCCTTTAAAGAGCTCTGGAGTTTTTGCTCACCCTACTCCATTATTCTTAGCTTCTGTAATTGCCCTGGATGCTGTCTTTCTTCTTTTGGACTGCTTTCTTTGTCCACTGCCAGGCCGTCACAGAAATCTGTTCCCAAGCCCAATATCCGTGGCAGCAATCTCACTTCTTCCCAGACTCCCTTTGTCCTCTCTCCCTATTTCCTTCTCTTCACTAGCTCAATTATAAATGTTTTACAACTGTATCCACCCCCAGATCTCCCCAATCTCCCTTCTCTTGCCTGTGCCCCGTTCCTCTCTCTCTGTGCCTCTGGCCTGGCATCTGTTCTCCATCTGTCTACTTCTTGCTACTGTCCTCTAACTCGCTCTTGGGGAACAGAGCAAGGGAGTGTTAGTAGTCAGCCACATCTCTCTTCTCCCACCTCTCCTTCCCCTCACTCTCCGTTCCAGGCTTGGTCTTCAGCACCGGGGATCGCGCCAAGCAGCTGAGGCGCTTCTCCATTGCCACACTGAGGGACTTCGGTTTGGGCAAGCGTGGCATCGAGGAGCGCATCCAAGAGGAAGCGGTATTTCTCCTGGAGGCATTCCGGAAGACAAATGGTAAGCAGAGCTCTGCAAGTTCTCAGGACCAACCAAGGGGAAGACACCCTAGGAAAACAGAACCAACATCCAGGATGGGAACTAGGCTAGGGAAGACTATTTTGGTCTCCCTGTGAGGCCTGGTGTCCAGGTTTAGACGGAGTTGGAGGACTCAGCGCTGTAGCGCGTGCTCATTTTGAATTATCTGATAAAAAGAATCTGATGCTATCCCATAGTGGAAGCCTTTCTCCCACGTCTCGCTCTCTGTCCTCTTCCTTACCTACAGGTGCTTTCATTGACCCTACATTCTACCTGAGCAAAACAGTGTCCAATGTCATTAGCTCCATCGTTTTCGGAGACCGCTTTGACTATGAGGATAAAGAGCTCTTGTCACTGCTGAAGATGATGACGGGAAGCTTCCAGTTCACAGCTACATCCTCTGGGCAGGTAACTTGTTTTATCTTATCCTACCGCCCCCAGACCACAGCTGCCAGCTCATTCCAAAACTGCCAACCCCCGTTTAATAGGTACCTTCAAAGTAGTCCGACAGTTGCACCTGAACTATACAGTCTCAACAATTTAAACTGAAATCAGAGCCAGCAGTACAGTCAGGCATTCACACACATGCAGAGAGAGAGAGAGAGAGAGAGAGAGAGAGAGAGAGAGAGAGAGAGAGAGAGACAGGGTCAGAGACAGACAGAGAGAGACCTATCTCAGCTGGGCAGACATTACCAGGACAATTCATTTTACTTTCTAACCAAGGTAGCTACAGGGAGGCCTGCTGAATGCACTAGCCCCTCTTAGTGCCCAAGTGCCTGCTGCAGCAAAATCCAGGTCACTCAAATCATGTGCCATCTGCAAAACGTAAGGAGCAAGTCCACTGGACTATGTAGATGAGCTCTTTACTCAGCCATGGAAATACCTAACCCCCTGAATCTCTAAGCAAAATTTCTACACAGACTGTCCCTCAAACACCCCAGTTAAAGGTCCTCCTGCACAGCTCACTCACACATCTAAGTGGGGTCCTCCTTGCAGCAGTTTTAATAGCAATGCAGGTGAACATGACTATCAGCACTACCTTAAAATACTTATTTTTTTGTTTTTTTGGACAAGCATATATTGTGCACTGAGCCTATTCACCCCCATATCCTCTACCTTCCCTTTTCTCACACCTCCTCCTCCTTTAGTCCACTTTGACCCCTGAGACAGTTTCTCTTCTCCTTCCAAATGATACACATATTTGCATAGATATGTACACACACGATTTACTGTATGTATACCACAAATGAAGAAAAATACTGAGTTATTTCTCTAAGACTGGTTAAATTTGCTTAATAGAGTTATCTTCAGGTGGGCCCACTTTCCTGAAAATGCCATAGCTTTGTTTTTAATGGCTGAAGAATAATTCAGTTGTGTATATGGATCTCACTTTCCTTCTCCATTATGCTGCTTTTGAACACTTAGGTTGATTGAACAATTTATCTATTGTGACTATCTAGCCAGCACTCATTGGATGCTGGAAAGCCTGTTAGAACTCACCAATCCAAACCCCATTAGTGTATGAAGAGCTGTCCCCAGCTGAAGTCACCAATCTCCTAAGCATCTACATAGGTAACCCCTACCCAACCTCCTAAACATCTACATAGGTAACTTTTACCCAAAGACTGGATGCTTCCCACCCTAGTCTCACTTAAACACCCCAAACCTGCATGTGTTCCCCAAATCCATCTCACTTAAAACCTTGGACAATAGCCCTCAGGCTTAAACTATAAGAAGTCTGTTGCAACACAGCCCCACCTGGTGCTTAAACTCCTGGACAGTCGATGTGTACATCCCTCATCCTAAGACAGATGCCACATCTTTTGGGTTTTGTCTAGTGACAGTTGCCTTGGCTTCTCATCCCCTTCCCACCATCAGCTCTTCGAGATGTTCTCTTCAGTGATGAAGCACCTGCCGGGGCCACAGCAACAGTCCTTTAAGGAAATGCAGGGTTTGGAAGATTTTATAACTAAGAAGGTGAAACAGAACCAGAGTACCCTGGACCCCAATTCTCCAAGGGACTTCATTGACTCCTTTCTCATCCGTATGCAGGAGGTAAATCCTGAAGCCAGGGAGCATGATGGGAGGTTCAAAGGCAAGTAGGATGAAATCAGGGGCAGGTAGGAGGAAGTTAACAGAGGACAACGCATCAGTCCTCTGGCTATAATCCTCATTCAACATCACTGTTCCATCCACTCTCAATTGTTCTCAGGAGGGTGTGCAGGCTAAGAAAGCAGCCAGTACACAAGGATGTCATGTTTCAGGCACTGTTTTAAAGGCTTAGTTTTATTCACATATTTAGTACCCACAACTCTTGAGAAAGGTTGTGCTTTGAATCCCATTCTACAAATGAGGAGGCTGCAGACTGTCAATATAGGTGACCTTCTGATATCACAGCAAGAAGGCCATGCATCCTACCTCACTGACTCGGGCTGGTGCTTTCAGCTAACATACCATTTGCCTTTGCCTGTCCTCATAGCCATTTACAATTGTGTGACCTGAGCTTTACTGTGACCTCCTACCTGTTTGTAACAGATATGGAGATTTTGTCATTGTTGGTTTTAAGACAGAATCTTGCTAATGTAGACCTGACTATTCTGAAATTTGCTGTGTAGGCCAGGCTTGCCTCAAACCAGTGGCGATCCTCCCAAGTCTGCTCCCTGGAGGCTGGGATTACCGATGTGTGTTGTCTGGCCAAGAAGAAACTTCATAAACTCTGAAATGCAGTGGGTTGAGGGGAGAAATTTCTTTAGGGAATATTAAGGATTATAATTAAAAAATAGTTTCCTGTTGCCTAAAACTCATTTTCTGAGGGCTGGAAAAGTGGCCCACTGGTTGTGAGCACTGACTGCTCTTCCAGAAGACATGGGTTCAAGTCACAACACCCACAAGGCAGTTCATAGGTGCCTGTAAGTAGTTTCAGGGAACCCAGCACCCTTGGTAAAACACAAAGGCACATTAAATAAAAACTGGCAATTTAATTGATCATTAAAGATCAGACAATCAACTAAGTTATGAATGACAGAAGAGCACTAGATTAGGGCACTGGATCACTTCCAAACTTCTCTGGAACGTGAAGAGAAGCTGTCATAGCCAGAATCCCCCTTCTCTCCTTGTTCTGGGTCAAAGAGAAGTGAATTAGGGCATGGAAAATGGTTAAAAAAGAAGGGCACCAAAAGCATAAGGAGTGTATTGGACGTGAATTCTTCCCTTCCCACAGGAGAAGAAGAACCCCAATACAGAGTTCTCCATGAAGAATTTAGTGCGGACAACACTGAACCTCTTCTTCGGTGGTACAGAGACTGTCAGCACCACCCTTCGCTATGGCTTTCTGTTGCTCATGAAGTACCCAGATATACAGGGTAAGGCTGCATGGGAGTGATATTGTATATTCTAAACATGCTTCTCTGGTCATCAACAATATTCTCAAGCTCTCTCAAGAAACTGGACTCTTAGATAGCTACTCCCTTCTCTGCAGAGACAGAGAGAAGCTGGTGGGCACCAGCCTCTAGCTGTTTTATCAACTTGTATGTTGCTCAAGTGAACCTCAAAGGACCCACTTCCCTGTCCCTAAGACCCTGCCTAAATCTCCTTCCAAACAATTCTCACATAATTCTGCTATGATCCAGTTAATATGAACCTTGTCCAACAATGCCTATGACTCGCATGTACTGAAAATGATTGACAATGTCATGCACTGCTTAATGGCCTCCATCTAGTTCTACACTTTAGGAGAAGGGTCTGCTTGTTTGTCCCAGATGCCCGGCTAGCTTAGCCCCAAAATAACCACACAGAAACTGTATTAACTAAATCACTGCTTGGCCCATTAGCTCTAGCTTCTTATTAGCTAACTCTTACATCTTAATTTAGCTTATTTCTATTAATCTGTGTATCACCACATGGCAGTGGCTTATTGGGTAAAATTCCCAGTGTCTGTCTCCTGGTGCTCCAGCACTTCTTCCTAACTCTGCCTCCTGTCTCCCAGCATTTAGTACAGTCCTCTCCACCTACCTAAGTTCTGCCCTATCAAAAGACCAAGGCAGTTTCTTTATTCATTAATGGCAATCACTGCACACAGAGGGGACATCACTACACTTTTGCATTATCATCCTTATGGTAAGGTCTTGGACTCCTAACCACATGCCTTTTCTTCTCAGCCAAAGTCCGAGAAGAGATTGACAGAGTGATTGGCAAGAACCGACAGCCCAAATATGAGGACCACTTGAAGATGCCTTACACGGAGGCCGTCATCCATGAGATCCAGAGATTTGGAGACATAGTTCCCATGGGCCTGGCTCACAGGGTCACCAAGGACACCAAGTTTCGTGACTTCATCATCCCCAAGGTACTGACTCATCTAGTCTATAGTAATCTCCAGCCTTCTACATGGCCCTGCAGGCCCTCCTCCTCATTAGAAACCATCAGTCTTCTCTCACTTTCTTAGTTACATGCTCTCTCTGCCACCACTTACCTCCATCTTCCTACACAGAATCTCCTATATCTTGGGTTTTCTCCCAGACGTTCTGACCCAGGAGTTTCAACTCCATGTCTTTCAGTCATCAAGTCTCAAGACATAAACTCAATTTACCTAGATCTCCTGTCAGAGACAGGAGTGACATGTCTGTCATATATCCTGTTTAGAGGTACCTAAATCCAATACTCTTCAGTTCTTGACTTGAGAGACATGAAGCACATATCCTTCAACCTCCCACCACAGACCACAGACCCCATTCATCCTGTCTCCTATAACATGAGCCCCACATCTCCTGTCTGAAGGATGATGATCTCACATTCCTCAAAGTCCCTCCCTGAAAACCCCCTCAACTCCCATATATTATATTTATGTCACCCCTATGGGCCAGCAGGACACTCATCCAAATCTATCTTATCAATCAAACCTTCCTCCTCCACAGGGCACTGAAGTGTTTCCTATGCTGGGCTCTGTGCTGAAGGACCCCAAGTTCTTCTCCAACCCCAAAGACTTCAACCCAAATCACTTCCTGGATGACAAGGGACAGTTTAAAAAGAGTGATGCATTTGTACCCTTTTCTTTAGGTAAGAGGTCACTGTCTAGTGCCAGGCCACTGCTCACATCAACAGAGATAACTCATCTGTATCTTTCCATCTTGGAAGATTCTCTTGGATCAAACCCCAAGCCAGTTGGCTGCAACTCCCATATTTTCCAAGCACTGAACCATGGAATTGATGGTCAAGCTGTAGTGATAGATTAGGGGAAATGAAGTCTCAAACTAAGTCAGAGGTCACTCTCAGGTCACACAACCACTTCATAGAAAGAGGTTACAGCTGCCTGTGGTGGCACTTGTCTAATTTAATCCCAGCACTCAGGAGTCAGAGACTAGAGGATTCTAGTGAGGTCAAGGGAAGCCTGGTCTACAGAGTGAGTTGTAGTATAGCCAGGGCTGTCACACAGAGAAACCATGTCTCAAAAAATCAAAAAAAAAAAAAAGAAGAAGAAGAAAGAGAAAAAATAAGAAAGAAAAGAGGGAGGGAGGGAGGGAGGAAGGAAGGAAGGAAGGAAAGAAGGAAGGACAGATGTTGCTACATGACATCCATACTGGAGAGTACCTCTCTAGAGAAAGGAATCCACATTTCTCGTTGTTACATCCTGGTGAGGATCAACTCACCACAAGTACAAAACAAACTGAGGCTCAGAGATTAGAGCCTTCTTTAAAGGTCTCAGCCCTTCCTCCCAGAGAGAATACATCCAGGGATTTGCTATGAGGATGATGTAAAGAATTGGCTTCACACTCCTTGTCTCTTCTCTTTAGGAAAACGGAATTGCATCGGAGAAGGACTGGCTAGAATGGAGTTCTTTCTCTTCCTCACAAACATCCTGCAAAATTTCCACTTCAGGTCTCCACAGGCACCCCAGGATATTGATGTGTCCCCTAGACTCCTGGGTTTTGCCACTATCCCACCAAACTACACCATGAGTTTCTTGTCCCGTTGAGCCAGCGCTGGGTAAGGGTAAAGAGAAGGATGGAGATTGGGCTAGTGGGGGATTGGGACTTAGAAGGGATCAGGGGAACAGGAGAGAGAGAGAGGACATGATAGACTTGCTGAAGACAGACTGCCACTTCAAAGGCAGAACATGAGAAAGGGGAAATTTATCCTATGTTATAAATAGTAATAATTATAATAGTGATAATAAAGTAGACATTATTTATAGAATAAGTATTCTTTGTCAAGTGGTATGGGAGGTCCAACTGTCTGTGTGTTGCTTTTCTTGGTTAATGAATAAAGAAACTGCCTTGGCCTGTTGATAGGGCAGAACTTAGGTAGGCAGGGAGACAGAATTGAATGTTGGAAGAAAGAAGGGCAGAGTCAGGGAGACATCATGGATCCACTGGAAATAGACATGCTTTGCCGGTAAGCCACTGCCACGTGGCAATATACAAATGAATAGAAATGGGTTAAATTAATATGTAAGAGTTAGCCAATAAGAAGATAGAGATAATGGGCCAAGCAGTGATTTAATTAATACAGTTTCTGTGTGATTACATCGAGGCTAAGCTAGCTGGGCAGCTGGGATGAACAAGCAGGCCCCCTCCATGTTACAGTCAAGTTTATGCTAAAGAGTCTTGTGATCTCAAAACTCATAAATGCATTGGAAGAGAAGAGAATTCATGTCCATTTTACTATTGAGGCACATTCTTGACCTTACAATGTTTCCTTGGTCTAAGTTTACGGAAGTCTCATTGATTCCAAGAGCAGTAATACTTGAACGAATTATCCATGTGCATTGTCCATGGGCAGATTTTCAAATGTCACCACACATTAGATAAAGCAACAAGAACTCAGTCTACTACCACATCATCCTTCCCAGAGGTATTCAAGAGCTTGGGGTGGGGCACCAACATGGTTTCACCATCAACTCACCTACACTTTGATTTACATTTGTAGAACTGATTACCAAGGCATCATCACTCAAGCCTTGTTCATTAAAGGCATTGTGTTCAACTCAGAATCCATTGAAGAACTGAAATCAGGTCTATTAATGAGGTCCTTGGTGGAGAAAATACATTTTCAGAGGTGGCCAGGAAATCTTAGGGATAGCACACTGACATGAGTGTGTGCTGATTCATGAATGTGTGTGTCGGTGCACATTGCAGGTATGCACACGACCACATCTTCTGCCATGAGTTAGTTTCCAAAGGCCAAGTGTTTGCTTACCAACCTGGGATCAGAGCCAATCAAGAGTTTTAGAAGCATGTGCTCCAGTAGTACTAGTATAAATCTGATGAGTGGAGAACTGAGCAACGCACAATCTCGATGTCAGTGGATACATCAGCTGCGCCTCTTTTTTTATTTTTAGGATGTCAGTATCAGCCAGACCCAGGAGGGAGCAGGGGTATCAGGGCATTTTAAGATGCCATCTTTGGGAACTGCATTGCAAGCCCTCCCTGGTGGCAAACTCCAACCCTACATGCTGCAGATGGTTCCTGGGGGACTGATGGAGAGAGGAAGAGAGTGGGAAAAGATGGTTCAGTTGATAAAGTGCTTGTCAAGCAATCATAAGGACCTGTTTGGATCCTAAGCACCCATCGAAAGTCAGGCCTGGTGGCACATGCTTGTCACCCTAATGTTGGGAGGGGGTTGAAGACAGCCCAGTCCAATCAGATCATAAATTATTAATTGAACTAGAGATCCAGTCTCAAAAAAAAACCATAATAGAGAAAGACTGGAAAAGACAAGCAGTGTTGTCTTCTGGGCTCTACATGCATGCACACACACCTGCATGCACATACAAAAATGTATACACACATAGAGGAGAGAGGGGCTAGTTCAATGTTAGCAATGATACACAACCGTAGGGGAAGGGACAGTGGCTAGCAAGCCTTTGTCTGAAAGATAGAGAGGAAAAAACGAATAAACCGAGTAATGTTGGGAAAACATTAGAACATATGAAATCATGACCCAGTTTACAGAGACAAGGTGTACTGTGTCCAACCATGTTCTGCTCAATAACAGAAAGCGCACATCCTGCTGAAGCATGCCTGGAACACTCTTTGTGATAAGCCTTTTGTTAGGGTACAGAAGCTTCAGTTTGTAGATATTAGGGTAACCAGAGTAGCTCTGATGAACAAGGTGAAATGTAGCCAGAAATCAATAGCAAATTTAAACCACAAAAGTCACAAGGATAGGGAAATGAAGCAATATGCTTGTTAATTTTTTCTTTCACTGAAAATTGGAAATTACACGTATTAGAGGCTGGAGACATCTTAGTGGCTGTTAAGCAGAGGATGCTCTTGCAGAGGGCTTGAATTGGGTTCCCAGTACCCATGTCCAGCAGGTCAAAGCCACCTGTATCTATAGCTCCCGGGGATCCGACATCCTCTTCTAGATAACATGGGCACTGGAGGTTTACACTCATTCACACACAGAGACACACACACATACACATGATTTAAAAATAAGCCTTTAAAAAATATATGCATTAATGGAGTATAATTGATGTTTTAATATATGTATCAATTATGCAACGGCTAAGTCACACCAACAAAAACAATGCAGACTTATATAGCAGTGGTTTAAAGAAATATCATATGATAAATAATAAAACACTTAAATAACAGAATAAAAATAAGTATGGACAAACTTGCAGAATGAGTCATAGCAGAAGGCATAGGTAAATTCATGGAATGGCTTTTAAAGAAAGCTCAGATTCATAAATGTTCTCTATAAAATTTCCCATGTGTCAGAAACATTAATTTCAATGAGATTTTTTTCTATTTTTAATTTAAAAAATCATATCCTTTATTTTTTTCCGTTTATTTATTTATTAAAGATTTCTGTCTCTTTCCCGCCACCTCCTCCCATTTCCCTCCCCCTCCCCCAATCAAGTTCCCCTCCCTGTCAGCCCATACAAATGGGGATGTTCTATTGGGAACTCACCAAGGCCAGCTGGGATAAAACCAGACTCGCTGAACATAGCAGACAATGAGGACTACTGAGAACTCAAGAACAATGGCAGTGGGTTTTTGATTCATATCCTTTATTTTTGAGATTATAATATTCTAACATCATTTTCACCTTCCCTTTCCTCCTTCCAAACTCTCACAGCCACAACACCAAAGAAGAAGCCATAGTCCAAAACTATAAAGAGGTGATGAAACACTTAACAAGGCAGGGGGAAAAAGAAACAAGGAGGTGACTCAGCAAACAAAAAGAAATCTCCTCTCCAACCTGGGTACCCAGCAGGGGGTTACAGGAGCTCAAAGTACCCTAGAGACTGAAGGCACCCAGCTGAGCACAGACTGATGGTCATAAATTCAAGCAGGAACCATAGTGAAGATATAATATAGGGACCACCACAGCATGGGGCTAAGAATGAGGAAGAAGAAAGCACCCATGAGAAAGGCTGTTTTTCTAGGAACTTTGTCCTTTTATGTAGTGACCATTAGCTGTTCACATATCTTATCAGGCCCCTGGCTTATCATGTCAGTAGTTACAGAGAAAATGCTGAAGGAGGAGTTCCTGGGTTCATTATAGCAGTTTTGATACTCAGCTAGGTGTGTTGTCTTGCTGCCCTTCCTGTTTTCAGGCAAATATTTCAATACTGGGTAAAGAAAGAGTGATTCTAGAAAGCATGGGTTCTGGCTGCATGTCGTAACCTTCTTCTCTCTCAAACATTTGAGCTGCACCATTTTCTCATGTCACACGCACACACACACACACACACACACACAACACACACACACACATCAAATGAGAAACATCCATCAAGAACAAGAATAGGAAGTATTGCGAAGAAGGGGGAGGAAGGATCAGAGGAACCAGAGGGGTCAGGGACAACCAGAGAACATGGCCCACAGAAACAATTGACAAGGACTCATGGGGCTCACAGAGATCAGGGAGCCTATAGGGCTCTCACTTAGGATCCCTGAATATACATTATAATTGAGTAGCTTAGTGTTCTTGTGGGACTCTGAACAGTGGGAATGGGGGCAGTTGCTGACTCTTTTGCCTACATATGGGATCCTTCTCCTACTGTGTTACCTCATCCAGCCTTGATGTGACGGTGTGTGTCTGATCTTAAAGTAGCATATTATGCTGGTTTTGGTTAATATCCCTGGGAGGCCTGCTTTTTTCTGAGGGGAAATGGAGGGGGCATAGATCTGAGGGAAAGGAGAGAAAGAGGGGCGGTTGGAGAGGAGGGAATGGTAACTTCAGTTAGGGTGGAATATATAAAGAATAAAAATGAATAGACTTAAAAATTCGATGCAACCAACATACAAATCTTAAAAACTACACCAAGGGTATGAGCAGTATATTCATGGAGAATCTGTAAGTTAGAAACCTTGGATAGTTGGGCTCTTTCTGCAATATTAATGGCTACTGTTACTATTTTTGAAAGCCTGGCAGGTCCTTCTGACAGCTGTGATCCTGAGGTACAACATCCAGTTCAGGCAAAATCCTACTGAAACATCACTCTAGTCTCCCACCCATCCCGGGGCTCCACATGAGCTGTAGAAGTTCTCTGTTCCCTATTGCCCATCCTGGACTCTCTTCTAGGCTCTTAGGGGGATAGAGACAAAGTGGGCAATAGCCAAACAGGTCAACAACTTGACCCTATAGTCATTCTCATGATCTATTCCAGAGTCTTGGAATTCAGCAGTTGAGAAATTGTGATTTCTCTGGAACAGTACTGCTGCTCTGCTTATTCATATTTATTGTGTGTCTGTGTTGCAATCCACAAATTACTAGTTTATATCTGCTTTTTGGTTTCATTTGGGGATATTTTTACAAAACAACTACTTTAAAAACTCAGTTCCCTGAACAGGCATAACAGTAGCAGCATCAAAAGTCATGCAAGAGGTGGACAGTGGTGGTGCATGCCTTCAGTTCTTGCACGCAGAGGCAGAGACAGAGACAGATAAATCCCTGTAAGTTTGAGACAGCTAAGACTACACAGAGGAACACTATTTTGAAAAACTAACAAACAAAGAAACAAGCAAAACAGAGTCTTGCAAGATTCAATACAGCTATGAACAAATGATCAATGAGCACAAGCCTGAACACGGAAAAACTATCATAGAATGTACTGTGCCACTAGAAATATTCAGGGTAAGGAGGGGAATCGTAACTCATGAAATGAAGGGAGCAGGGACAATAGAAAGGCAGGACATAGAAAGCAATGTTAAATAAATAAAAGCAAAGAGTGTAACATGAGGGCCTGTTTGTTGGGGTTTCTGTCCTGCCCAGTTCCCACAGATGGTAAGTTCCAAAGAAAATCACACAGAGGTCTACATAAGTTATACACTGATTGGCCCATTAGCTCAGGCTTTCTATTAGCTCTTATAACTTATATTAACC